CCCCCCCCCCCCCGAATATTTCGTGAAGTGTTCGCCACTGCATACAGTTCATTTTCAAAGCGTGATTATCTTTCTCTAGGCTGTTGCGCTATTTATTTGGATGTTTACAGCAAAGCGTCAAAAACAAATGGCCTGAAGCTGAAACGTTGAAGACACGGGTCGTCAGGTACGCTGCTCTGCTTGTCAAGGTCACCTGCTTAATATGGTTTCAATAGTAAACAGTGAATTATATAACGCGACGTTGTTACTGTCGTTCCAATTGAAGTGTTCCTCAAATATTGATTCAATACATTACCTCAGGCTGACCAATTCATTTCATCAAGTTCCTCGAAATATTCATAGACTTCCTGTGAAAGAGCCAATTCCAAGAATTTGATCATTTCTGGTCACTTCCGTTCTATTTATAATTGGTTAGTTGCACAAACATCAAAGGTGATTAGTTTACAATTATACAGGAAGTTTACAATTATACTAGGAAGTGTATGAATATTTCGACGAACTTGATGAAATGAATTGGTCAGCCCCAGGTAATGTATTGAATCAATATTTAAGGAACACTTCAATTGGAACGATAGTAATCGCAAAATCTGAGAATAAAGTAGGTCGTTTGCAGCTTACTTCAATCGCTGGTTCCAAAACAAAGTCTGTCGAAGTATTTAGTGTAATGTTGACCTGATTTCAGTTACTGCCTCTTCTGCATTTTCAATATTTGTACAGAGGTTAGTTTTTTTCGACATTTGTCTATTTAACTCTATATAAGAATACACTACTGCCACTAGGAAGAAACGAAAATGCAGAATAGGCAGTAACTTACACCATGCAAACATTACACTATATATTTCTACAGACCCCGCCCCACAACCAACAATTGAGGCAAATTGCAAATGATCTACCGTATTCCCTGATTTTGCGATTTACAGCACCGCGTAATATAATTTACTGTTTACTGCAGAAGCCATATTTCAACGGGTTATGCATCGATGATATGCAAATTAGTAAGGAAATAGAATAATTTTGTCCGTGATTTCTGGCCATGATTTCTTTGTTTGTCATGTCGATGCCTATGCAGTAAATTTCATCTTTTTGACTCACGGATGTTGCCAAGCAACAGTTAAACAATGGGAAATGACCAGTCTGCTTTGCGCGCACTGTTTGCCTGCGAATCGGGCCTTTCAGAACCGGGAATCGGGCCTTTCAGAACCGGGAATCGGGCTGGAGCACGCGTTCGTTCTTTTGATTTGGCAATAAAAGAAGCACGACAAATGGCAAAATTCGCACGGTGCCCATTTGCAAAAACAACTGCAAACTGCTCTAATTCTTTCTGTCACTTTCATTTTTATCTCATCCGTGAGTCACCCTCAACGGCCTTTGATTCAAGTAATCAAGTTTTCTTTTTAATATGATTGCATAACCGTTTCTAGAATTAGGCCAATGCGGTTAATCGATAATCAACAAATGTTGTTCTGGCCGGAAAAAAAACACGAAAAACCGTGGAAAATTCGGAAAAAAGTGTTTGAAATTCCGGAGTATTGAAAAAAAAATGTGAGAAAATAGCACACCTATAACAGTGGCTTACGTATTAAGGTGGTACTGTGCCATTTGTTTCTAAAACTAAAGTTTTGAATGCGTAGCGTGGAGTTTAATCTAACTAGTATATTTTCTGGCACGATTGTATATTTTTTGGCATATATTTTTATTTTCGGGTTTTATTCAGACGGTTTTCAGTTTTTACCAGACGTTTCACAACAACTGGGAATAAGCAGTCCTGAACCGCTTCACCGTACCTAGAATATTAGTTTTTAGATTCAATTCAACTTAATTCTGTATTTATTGCGTTTTGTTTTCAGCGCATTTCTGTTTCTGCGTTGTTTCTGTCCTGCTATTATGAACCCAAGAATATGTAATATGATGTCAGGTAGGTCTATATTTGTTGTTCGTGTGTTTTTTTCAAAGACTTGACAAATTAGCGTTTCTCACGCCGCCATTTTTGGGTGGCAACCTTTTTAGAACAGGGATAGTAAGCAGTGAAAATGAAACTTTCTATAACTATATAGTTGTAAGCATAATCTTTATAAATCGATTTGCAGTTAAATATTTGAAAAATTATTTTCACATCGCGTTTAGACCTTCGTGAGGAGGGCAGCAAAGGCTAACTGCACTCATCTTTCATGCTCGTGCAGTTTTGATCATCTTTGAAAACCTCACTCATGCATATTTTTTTCCAAATTGCATACCCCCACTCTTGACCATTCAGACGTTGAGGTAGTCATTTGAAATATTTCCCAAAACGGAGATTTCCAGGGGAGGGGGCATGTCCCCAGACTCCCCTGGAACTCTATATCGTTAAAAACAGTCAAGTATAGTCGATAGATTTGACAGATTTTTGGCCCCGTTTCCATGAGACCGGAACGAAGTCAAACCGGGACCATTTCGTTTCAGTCATAGTATTATTTGTAGTAGATGTTTACATGAGATCGGGACGAAAATAACTCTGACCGATTTCAAGTCATTCCGCCTGCTGGGCCGAGCCGACTGACCGGCATGCATGAATTCAGACTGGAATGAATGTAAACACAAATACATTTCAGACCGGTCTCGGCTGTAACCTTGACATTGGAACAACACATGCTAACAAAAGCATCTAAAAAAGAAAATTGCCTGGCAAGAAGAATTAGTTGAAAATTGTGTGATTTTCGTACCGGTCTCATGTAAACATGTTGACAAATTCAATTACCAGGCTAATGACTCTGTAAAATACCTCACCCCCAAAATACCTCACCCTCAAAATACCTCACACCCCACACCCCCATTGAAGGAGGACTAGTGCCGGCCGTGTTCGAAAGCATATAACTATTACCTTTACAAATTGTAGATCACATAAATACACGCTGTGAGGTTATTAATTTATGGGAGTGTCTTTGTCAGCATTATTGAATGGACTTTTGATGTTCTTTTTTCAGATACGCCTTCTCCAATGGCGAGTAGAACTTTAACAATGGTCGCAAAATGTTTGCAGAACCTAGCTAACTTAATAGAATTTGGTGCCAAGGTACTTAATAGAATTTGGTGCTAAGGCGCTTTTCTGTATTCCATATTTGACTACACTAGATTGTATTCCAATACAGAATCTTTCCTGAATCTTTCTGCCTCCTCTATTTTGCTCTATTAATTTTTTTCCAACAGGAGCCATACATGATTCCACTAAATCCCTTTATACAGAAGAACAAACCAAGACTTGTCAAGTTTATCGATAATCTTTCGGTAAGTTTGTCAACTTCAATATTTTAAAACACTTGCAATTAAACACAACAATTTCGTACCCTGAAACAATTCCCAATTCTTCAATCTGCTCTCTACCGCCTTTTCCCATGCATAGTTTGTACGCTTGTGAAAATGACAAAATCAAAATGTTGATAATTGTGGATGACTCGAAATAACATTTTTTCTAGGTAAACATGCTCTAGAGGTGTCCATTTAGATTTTTAAGAAATATTCAAGTTTATTTTTCCATTTTCTAGAGCATCTCATATTGTCCCTCGGCAAGCGAACAAGTGTCGTCTGACCTTGCAAGAAATTTAGCTTTTCTTCATGATAAATGTGTTATCCATTCTCAAGCTTTAAAAGAACTATCAAAAAATGCGGTAAGTTTTAATATCTTTTCATTATTTTTATCAACAAACATTCTGCCTGTGGTTCCCCTTTTGCATTTGTCAAAATTTGTTTTTATGATTCGAAAGTAATTGTTTTGGACAGTTTCAGAAAGTTTGGAGTAGCTTGAGCCATTTTTTTAATTTTTCAAAATGTATTGTGGTCCCCCCCCTGCTTTTGACCAAAATTTTCAAGTTTTCAAAACCTGTGTTTATCACTAAATAAATTACTGCTTTGATGAAAAAAAGTGTTTTGGTAATTTTCTGAACGTTTTGACGAGATTTAGGCAAAATTTGGATTGTCCACCACTTGCAGGCAATATATGCTTGTGGTTGCCCCTTTGCTTTTGACCAAAATTTTCAAATTTTTGAAAACGTGTTTTTATCTCTGAAAAAGCAATGTTTTAATGAAAGAAATGCTTTTGTCTCACTTTCTTAATGTTTTAAAATAGGTTAGTTTGAGACAAAATTTAATGTTTCGGTCATTTTTTTACAAGCACGAATAAAAATTGTTCAAATTAAAAAAACCCTGCTGGTGACAGCAATTAGCACCAAGGCCGGATTTTGGTGGAAATATTGGGGGAGGTGGAAAAAATTTGGGGGAGGTGCAGAGGTCTAGCTCACCGTCCCCATGGAAAGTTAGGGCTCAGAACGGTCCAAAGTCAACGACGTGACGTATGCATGTAGTGTACATATGTATCAGTGTATTAATGAATTATGACTGTACAACTCATGCAATTTTGCCCTTCATTACAATTACAGCAAAGTTTCTTTCAAAACATTGCATGAAAAGGGTACTTGACACAGAGATGAATGGCTATCACTGTTTCAATTTTACAGAAAAATTTCTTACAAAGTGTAGACTCTGAGCAACCAAAAATGTCAAATTTTCACTCTGATCTATCATTGAAACTTTCCCAAGGGGGAGGTGCAAAAATTCTCAGGGAAGGTGCAAAACGATCTCAGGGGTGGTGCGCACCTCCCCACACCTCCCCTTAAAATCCGGCCATGATTAGCACCTGTGACTTTACGCTTTGTTTTTAATTTTAGCCTGCGTTACAGAGTTTACTCATTGCGACAGAAAATATTTCCAACAAAGCAAAGGCATATGTAGTAAGTTCTCGGGTGTCCTATGCTGAGTGACAGGAGGTAAACTCGTTTAAACTTTGTCTGTGAAAGATTTAGAATTGTAAATAAGATCAAATTAGATTACAAATGATATACATTTTATTTATCAGAGATTATGCATAAATAAATTGTTTAAATTGACCTGGGCGTTATTTATATTTAAAGGGAAATGGCAATATATATTTTTTATTTTCTCGTTTGAAAGAACATTTAAAACCATATATAAAACTTTTTTACCGTTTTCTCATATCTTGCTTACTTCTACAAATATTTTAATTAATCGAAAGAAATGAAACGTCCGCCATCTTGGATTTTTGTTGATGTGCATGTCACGTCACAATAGGGGTCACGCTAACACCATACCTTTTCGTTTATTCTCATCCGCTTTTTTGATTTTTCAAAAATAGTAAAAATCACAAAAAAAAACCCGCCTACAAAAATCGACACCAAAAGGCTAACCCCTTAACATTTGGCCACATTTCTGGCCACTTTTCGACAATAATATAAAATGGCTAAAAATGGACGAAAGGTTTAGGGGTTAACCTTTACTTTTATGCGATTTTTCACCTATTTTTCAAAAATAAAAAAGTGGCTAGATAAAAGCCCCAAAAGGGCTTAAAATGAACCATTCTCGTACCCAGAGCCCTTCTTACGCGCGGTGCGACGAGGGGCTCTGGCCAAATCCATATTCCGAACTGGCATCTGATTGGCTAGTTCTAACATTGTTTTCTTACCATGTTTTTGTGGTATCCGGTTATGGATTTGGCCAGAGCCCATACCAGAGCCCCTCGTCGCACGTTTTCTATTTTTTTGTTGCCCAACTTCTGCGAAATAGCAGTTCTCTGAGAAGCCAATCAGATCTCTCCATTTGTCGTCTAACCTAGAGCCTAATTTTCAACGAGTCGAGAAAAAGGCTCTGAGGACGAGGATGGAACGAAATGTTAAGGTAGCCGTTACTCTTTACCTTTTTGCGATTCTCACGTATTTTTCAAAAACAAAAAAACGGCGTAAAGTGGACGTAAAGTTAAGGGATTGCCCTTTACTCTTATCCGATTTTCACCACAGTGATTTTCACCATATTTTCACCCGTCCGTTTCATACGGGAACTTCACCACAGAGTTTTTGGCGGGAAAATTTGTATAATGTTTGGAGAAAACAAGATGGCGCCGGTTTATACTTTGTGTCATCAAAGGGGATTTTTGTTCACAAATACCCGCTTATTTTACGTTATAACGACTGGTTAGTTTTGGAAATTATAACTCAGTGGACAGGGAAAACGATTCTGTAGTGAAAAGAAAAATACGTGCTGTTTATATTGACTTTATATTGTGATGTTGTTTGTTGTGAAAATCGGCCCGAAATTTCGCTAGATCGCTGTACTGGTTTATAAAAAATTCTACTGGCAATTCGACCATGGATAAAGAGACAACGCTTGAATGAAATGAATAGCCTGCCTGTCTTAATGGTAAGTTTTTAAAGGTTTTCGGTAATATTTTTTAGACCATGTCAAGTCCGTTCTGCGCATCAGTTCTGCTCATAACAAAGGGGGACCCACAGATATAAACATTGCCCAAATTTTGCATCTTTCAAACTTTTTTGAATTGAAACGTACTCTAGTTTATATTCACTTACAATAGCGAAGCAGAAAAGTGTTTGATATTCAGTTAGTATGTCTTGTTTTACAAATATATCAGTTAAAAATGTAAACAAAGGATTTGTTTACATAATTAGGGACTTGACTTCGTCTCTCGAAGCTATACTTCGGTAGAGTCAGTAGACAAACAATTTGGCTATAAACGTTGTCTTATACATCTCGTTGCTATTCACAACTTCACATAACTCACACGCCCAGAACCAACCCCCAGCACTTATTCAGAGCCTGTTTATATGATCCAGGCGGGACGGGATGCTTACCGAGATCCCGCTCGTAATACAAATTCTAAAGAGTGTTTATATGACCCTGTCACTTATCCACCTAGAAGGGACCTGGGCAACAGATGCCAGGATCCCGCCTGAGCAAGATGAAAAATTCCCATATAAACACCCAGGGTGCATTCCATGTAAAGTCTACGCCGAAGATACGCCAATATTAACTATAGATAGTATTGTAATTTGCCAAACTCACGCCGAAGGTCTTCGGCGTAGGCCACTTAAAATGCACTCTGGATAAACACTTCGTCCCGCCTAGCCGGAATGAAAAAGTCCCATATAAACACTTCATCTCGGCTAGGCGGGATGAATTTTTTCCTTTTGAGCATGCGTAAATGCTTTTATTGCAACAAAAATACGATGTCAATCACTTAAATGGCTTCATCCCGGCAATGTATTTTGTCCATATAAACACTAGGCGAGTATCCCATCTAGGTGGGATCATATAAACAGGCCCTCAGTCACTATAAATTTGGGCGGGGGTTTGAATACCAGCCATGATTATTCGCAACAATAAGTTTCTTAATAGGCTTTGTTCATAATAGCATTGTATCAATTATTTTATATTATTGTATACATATAAGGAAGGTAATTCACTATATTTATTTAGTTTCTGATTGATTGGTTAATTAATAAAATTATAGGAACTATTACTATATTTATGTTAGAATTTTCCTTTGGAAGTTGTTATACAGTATATATACTTATATAGGGTCCATCTATCAACTGTCAATTAGGTCTATGCAGCCTAAGAATAAATTTATGTTATGTTACTTTATTTTTTACTCTGTCTAACGCCAGATTATTTTACTCGTCAAGGGGAGAGGGCACTCATGTGTTATTACATCAGTGGTTATTATTATCATCTTTATTAGGGTCAATCATATATTACAAAGAAAAAAACGTATAAAATATTCAATCAAACTATTAATAGGGTATAGACCCTAAATGGGCAAGGTATAAACAGGATTCAAAGAACCAAGATACCTTCCCAAACGTTACTAAAACTAATTTATATAACATTACACACAACTCTACACATACCTAGTGCACCACAATTTACGTCCTATGACACAAACAGTCACGAAACAAGGACCACGTACATGACAAGTCAATATCATAAATAGAATCAACAATACTAGAGTATCTACGTTTAAATTAACATTTAAAAGAACTAGGACTAGACACAGTGTCCAAACATACATCTTTACATACAATGTTCCACAGTTTGACAACACGATTATAGTACGAACATTGAAAAGTGCTTGTTCTACAAATTTGACTTTGTAGAATGTACTTTGAGGTGTTACTCAGCCGAGTTCGACCGTGACTGACAAACAAGACACATGGCTTATGACTTACTCTGTAGAAGGGTGTGCATTTACTAAGTTATGAAATATACAAACCACTTCCAATTAGGGCAAGTTAGATCAGCTCAAATCAACACTTTATGATTAATTAAGTCTTCAAATGACTTTGTTATAAAATGACCTTACTTTATTATTTTATACTCTTAGGATAAATATTAATGCCCAGCATAAAACACGTAAAAGAGCCATAACAAAAATATAATTTAAAATATTTGAAAGCTAACGTTTCGCCTTTAACTTAAGACATCTTCAGAGCAATGACATACAAAGCTTTGTATGTCATTGCTCTGAAGATGTCTTAAGTTAAAGGCGAAACGTTAGCTTTCAAATAAATATTTTAAATTATATTTTTGTTATGGCTCTTTTACGTGTTTTATGCTGGGCATTAATATTTATTCTAAGATTACGATTTCCGCCTGGTTTATCTATCGCAAGTATTTTATACTCTGTCTAACACCAGATGATTTTACTCATCAAGGGGAGAGCGCTGGACCTGATGACAAGTGCATTGTATTCTGGGCAACCAATTTTCATGTCTAACTCATTAAGTCAGGGTGTTAGCTAGCCCATATACTGTGCGTTTGACAGACTCTTCCCAATTGAAGTAGCTTAAAGGGGCTTTCCCAACTGGGTCTACTGGAAGATTTTCATTCTTTCTGATGAGAAAGTGCATTTGCGTTTGATTTTATATTATTATATCAAAGAACGTTTTATTTACTTTTTCCCATTAACTATTTTTTCAAAATGTATCGCGTTTCATTCATATTGGGTGTGTATTCACTAAAATGAAATGTACAAAACAAAGTGTAATCGGTGTGCATCCGTGTTCATTCACCGGAAATGAAATATACAAAACGAAGTGCCATCGGGTGAATTTTTCAGTGTTCATTCACCGGATATGAAATGTACAAAACCAAGCTACCGTTGTTTGCATCTAAGGAGAAACATGTTGGAAAAAACACTATTTATTCCTACACGAGGACTTTGATCGGTCAAAAAAACTTTCCCAATTTACGTTCCTCAGCGTCAGGAACCTTGTCTTCAGCGTCAGGAACCTTGTCCTCAGCGTCAGGAACCTTGTCCTCAGCGTCAGGAACCTTGTCCTCAGCGTCAGGAACCTTGTCCTCAGCGTCAGGAACCTTGTCCTCAGCGTCAGGAACCTTGTCCTCAGCGTCAGGAACCTTGTCCTCAGCGTCAGGAACCTTGTCCTCAGCGTCAGGAACCTAGTCCTCAGCGTCAGGAACCTTGTCCTCTAGCGTCAGGAACCTTGTCCTCAGCGTCAGGAACCTTGTCCTCAGCATCAGGAACCTTGTCCTCGCGTCAGGAACCTTGTCCTCAGCGTGACGAACCTTGTCCTCAGCGTGACGAACCTTGTCCTCAGCGTGACGAACCTTGTCCTCAGCGTGACGAACCTTGTCCTCAGCGTGACGAACCTTGTCCTCAGCGTGACGAACCTTGTCCTCAGCGTGACGAACCTCGCGAAAGGCCTCCGACGTTTTTACCCATGTGCAATCGAGTGAGATCATATAAATTTGATTATCGCGTATCATGTTTATTATGACTATTATAAATAGATCGAAATAAACAAAGCAAAATCACAGTTCACGAAACAGACATCCTTAATTCTCATTTCACGGAGCATTTTTATCGACAATCATGCCTCACGGCTGTAGAACAAATCACATTTCACGACACTAAAATCAAGCATTTCACATTTCACGCGAACAAATATTGATCATTCACGGCTCACGAAAATACCCTTTCCCCCCCTCTTATTAAATGTCATTATATTTTAAAAGTTCAAAAGCAATTTTAGTATTTTTTCCAGCTGATTGTAATTGCCTTCGACCGAAATTTTGAACGTGTAAACTCCGATCCAGGACTGCAGTGAGCTTGGTCACAGGCGATTTAACCACTGGATTTCACCTTGAACCTAGCCTCCCTGTTGCTATGAAGGTATTTAGTAGGTCTCTCTCTATTTGATAGCCTTATCTTTGCAAATGTTTTCAAACATATTTTTCTGTTAACAACTGTTGCACGTACATGAAAAATTTAGTTTCTTATAGAAAGACACATTGACACCGCGCAGTTCACAACCTTCAAATATTGATACCAGAAAGCGCGTCAATGCATACCAATTCCTTTAAGGCTTAGCCATTTTTAATAGATTCCTCCTCACAGCCGAACATTCCATCACATGGTTGACGAGTTGCAAAAATTCTGTCATGCTGTGGTTTCACAATGAAGTGGCTTCGTCATTCTAAAAGCAATATATGCCATTGCAAAGTTTTGCAAAGACGCTGCTCATCAGTATAATAGCGGGAACAAAAAATTTCATCAGTTCTACAACTTACTGTCATATCTGTTATAAACTGTGCTTGTATCGTTACTGTATTGGCTTGTTCGTGGAGTCGAGTTCAATTGAGAAATAGAAATTTGTGGTCGAATTAATTCGTTGATAAACTGAAGATTATTTCGTCACGGTAGGTGGGTGTTGTACATAATACAAACTTTTGATATAGAAATACGAATATTCTTTCATAAAATATATAAGAAAGCCAGTCCATAGTTTTAAAACATATCGAGCGTACCAAATGGGGGGAGTAATGAAATTTTGGGCACGAAAACTCGAAATACGAGTTAAAACTAGACACAGCCAGTGAAATGCTGAGTTTGTTGCTGTAACGTGGCATTGAATTAGCATTTCACGAAGAGTCTGCCTGGAATTTCGTCAGCTTGCTTGTGATTTTTTTACGATTAACTGTGGCAGACATTAACCATAGTTTTCTTAATTCTTTGATTATAAATATAATGCATTCAAAAGCTAATCTGGCTCGAAGCCCGTTTAGCTTATTAAAGCGGCAGATGAAGGCATGTACATTGAATTTTATGCAGTATTAATTAATACTTGATATGTAGTTGCAAGCATTATTCTCTATTTTCGTTAAAAAATGTTTAAATGTTCAATGAAACTGCAGTTTACTCACTTGATTTCTATTTTAATCTTTATACCACCGTTTAGCTAAACAACCGATCCGGACAATCGGCCCCTGAACTGAGAATAACGCACAACTTTGCGAACTAGGCCTCTTATACCTGATTAATTAAAGTGCTCATGAAACGAAATTTTTGCCTCATTTTTTATTGTCTTTTTAAAAGGTACTGCTTCAATGATGAAGAATGACGTTTACAGTTTGTTCGTATCTCGTCTCATTCTCAAGTTATCGCACTTTCTATATTTTGAGTTGTGACGTCACTAGTTTGAGTCAAAATAGTGGCAATAACAAGGAAATCTGATATTTTGATGATCATTTAAGAAAATTCAATGAAACTTAGCACGCTTAGTGCGTGCAACGAAGTGAACACTTTGGCTTGTTTATATGGTTGTTATGGCAACATACTCGTCCCCAGTCCCTTCTCTTCCAATTTCTATATGATCCATTTCCAACGAAATAAATAGTACTTTCTGCAATTGTCGCTTATTAGTATAATAAGTGTGGGTATTGTGATCAGTTTAAACAGTTATAACATGCAAACATCCTCTGCAAGAGGTCTACAGGTGGAAATTTGTGAAAAAGAAGAGAAGAGACTGGGGACTAGTGTTTTGCCATGACAACTACATGACCTGCCAAAAATATTTATATAGGTGCACGCACTAAGTGTACCGAGTTTCATTGAATTTTATTAAATACTCACTAAGATATCAGACTTTCTTGTTATTGCCATTATCTCAAGTCAAACTAGTGACGTCACAACTCGAAATTTAGAAAGTGCGATAACTTGAGAATGAGATGAGATATGAAGAAACTGTAAACGTCATTCTTCATCGCTCTAGCAGTACTTTTTAGCAAAACAATAAAAAATTAGGTGAAAATTTCGTTTCATAAGCACTTTCGTTTCATCAGTGCAAAGAAACTATTGTTATTTACAAGTTATGAGACAGTATAAAAATACAATGAATAACAAAGGAGAGAAGAGATAAATGGAAAGAGTACTGTACTGAGTATTGCCGTGTGCATGGAAGTCACTTCGTCAAGAATATAGAGATTCCAGACTACTTTTAAACGCCGTAAGAGATGGCGATAATCTAAGTGATTCTGGCAAGTAATTGTTCCAGAGAAATGCTCCACTATACGAAAAGGAGTGCTTTAGGTATAATAATAATAATAATTATAATAATTTAATTGACAATGCACTAACATCGTTCTTTAAAATCTGTTCAGTTTATATATATATATATATATATATATATATATATATATATATATATATATATATATATATATATATATATATATATATATATATATAGCCAATTCAAAAAAGGTTGTCCTTTGCAAACCTTAAACTCTAAACTTTAAACCTTAAACTCTAAGCGTGCAAAGCATAATGGTAGCATCATTTAATCTGTTTAGAAATCATATATGGGGCCCATTTCTTAGAGACATGGTAAATATCTCCTTACGAGAACAATTCATTCACAAATAGCCGCAATATTCAACTACTAAGCTTGATACGTGTGTGCTTGTGCTCCCATTAAGCTTTGCGCGCTTAGAGTTTAAGGTTTAAGGAGTTTAGAGTTTAATGTTCGCAAAGGACAACCTTTTTTGAATTGGCTATACACACACATATATATATATATATATATATATATATATATATATATATATATATATATATATATATATATATATATATATATATATATATATATATATATATATATATATATATTATATATATATATAATATACACACACACACACAGGGTGTATAAAAAAAAACTGAACAGATTTGAAATTGCTCTCAATTTCGCCGAAACAGCTATTAGTATCCAGTTTTTTATGTATATAGCTTCTTTGGGTACTTATAATGTAGAATAATGAAAAAAATTTCTCGAACTCAAACTTCGCGAACCAGGGGGTGTGTCTTTTCCAACAAACTAAAAATTACTTGCGCACGAAATTTAAAAGCTTTAATCGTATTTTGAGTTAATAGATGGAAAATTTGTTGGGTTTTTAATTACTGTGCAAAATTTCAGACAATTTGGTTTAGTTTAAGTCCTTTAACTTTTGGTTTAGTTTAAGTCCTTTAACTTTATCTAAGTTTACGTGAATAGTTAAAGGGTTTAAACTAAAGCAAATTGTGTGAAATTTTGTACAGTAGTTAAAAACCCAACAAATTTTCCATCTATTAACTTTTTTTAGCTTTTAAATTACGTGCGCGCGCCATTTTTAGTTTGTTGGAAAAGACACTCCCCCCCCCCCTGGTTCGCAAAATTTGAGTTCGAGAAATTCATTTCATTATCAGTTTTCATTATTCTACATTATAAGTACCCAAAGAAGCTATATACATAAAAAACTGGATACAATAGCTGTTTTGCGAAATTGAGAGCAAATTCGAATTCATATCTGTTCAGTTTTTTTTATATATACACCCTATATATTTATATAATAGTGTATGTTTACTATGTTAGTAGCAAGGAATAAAAAACAGTCATTATATACACAAATTGAAGATACTTATATAGAATGAATCATTTATACATAACAAAGTAATTTCAAGTTCAATTATTAAAAAGATTTGCTTTAAATGAATGGATAGAAAAACAGTTCAATAATTCCGGAGAAAGAGAATTATAATATTTTGGACCCTCAAATTGTATTGAAAATTTTCTAATGTTTAATCTACACAAAGGAAGGCGGAATTTATTCAATCTAGTATTATAAGAATGCACCTGATAATTTAAAGTAAAGATATTTTCAAATTTTCTTAACTTGGCAAAATCGATCGATTATACGAAAACATAAATAAACCTAGTTGCAAGAAATGAATTTGCGCAAATTTCAAAATTTTGAGTTCTTTAAAAATAGGATCAGTATGAGCATCATACGACATACGTGGCCCCATTCAAGATTCTAATAACTCGTTTTTGTAGGTAATTAGTATTATAGGTTTAGGAATAAACAACTTGCCACTAGAATTCCTGAGAGAATACTGACATCTTCTGGAGGCAAACATCTCATGTAAATACTGAGATGTTTGACCGCTAAGTGTCTTATACATGAGAATAGCTTTCTGCATGCTTTGGCGATTAGCGGATAAATTCTTCCACTTCAACTGATCAAGAAGGAGGTTTGATGAGATATCATATGAATAACGTGTTATAACGCGAGCTGCTCGATTTTGAAGTTTCTGGAGCCTATCACTCAGAGTATCTCCGAGTCCATCCCATACTGGAGCACAGTAATGAACTCCGTTTTAGCAATGTTCAATATTTGCCGAAGGCGAGGTGATTATAAATCGGTGAATAAAAACCGAGACGAAGTCGAGGTTTTTATTCACGATAATCACCGAGCTTGAGGTGAATAATTGTTTTAGTATAATTTCATAGCCTTAAGTTTGGTTAAAGTTGCTGAGCTGGTAACCAGGCAACCAACAAGCGGCACAAAATTCGAATTGTCACCAAAACACACGTCACTAACATATGTATGAGTGTTGGAAAGCCAATTTTTAGATTAAATTTCGCCGCGAAAAAGTAGGATCGCAGATCGCTTTCTACTTTTTCTCTCTTTGCGAGAACAAATTTGCCTGGTGGAAGGCGTCAAGGCGAATTTGCGGACCATGGTAGATGCAGACCATCCCAATCGAGCAAGGAAGGGTACTGGGTCTACACACGTAAAAATCTCACAACTTGGCAACAAGATGTGTTCGCAACAGGCTTGTAGCAAGCTTGTCAACAAGTTGTAACAATGCTGTTATTTTATCAAGTTGCCACAAGGTTGTCACTCACAACTTGTTGACAAGTTGCTGAATTGCAGGACGATAACAAGTTGCTGGAACAACTTGTAACAACTCCATTCAGCTCAACCACCTTGTAGCAAGTTGTCAACGAGCCGTTGACAACTTGTCAACAAGCTGGGAACAAGCAGTGCGAACACATCCTGATGACAAGTTGTTGGAACAGCATTGCTACAAGTCTGCTGCAGATTTGTTACAACTTGTGCGTTTTTACGTGTGTAGTCGTGAACCGCAAGTCCGCAATGCATCTATAGATTGTTTGGAGGGACAAACTTGAAACTGAGCGACTGGGCGAGCGACACTTATTTAGACCTATTATGGCTATTTGCTACGGTAGCCTTTCAGAAGTTTGTTTTTCAAAGGGCCGTGCACACTTATGACTACTATAAAAATTTTAAATTATTAACTATAAAATAGTTGTGTGTAAAAGCCATAGATGCATTGCGGTTCGGAACTAAACCCAGTAGTCTGCCCGGTTTGGAAAAGGCTATAATAGGAATATGATATTGAATATAATGTGGAATACCGCCTGACATACTGTAAGTGATGCGAACACAGTGTATAAAGTCTTTGGGTGGGTATATATTAATTATACTTATAGATTGATATATCCCTGAGGTTAAGTAAATATTGGTTGCATTCAGATTCCTCTGTGAAAAGAACAGCGAAAAGGTGCCTGTATACACTCATGTCACTATGGGTTAGGTAGCCTGCATCTTGAGAGTTGAGACGAATTAAACGGCCAGCAATTTTGAATACTCGGTTTTGTCAGCGCGTGGTGCGAACAACATCAAGGGGCACCGGAAGCAATGTGAAGCGGCGGTGGCAGCCATTTCAAAAGGGCACTTGCTTCCCAATCATCATTTTCTGGCCGGCAATATTTGTTAAAATTTTACTGTATCGATACTCGATTACTTGTCGCGATTATGGGTCGGCAAACTTCGACATTAATTTTGAACAATAGTTTATTCGTTGCACCATGCTAAGGGCGCAAAATAAAATCAGTAAACGGATGTATATTACCTGATTTAGCATTAATTTTACAACAACTGGTTAAAAATTAAGCAAAGATTGCTTAAACATTGCTTTAAAATAGTTAAAAATTCCAATTAAAAGTTCCGGTAAAAAGGGCAACCTGTTGCTCCCGTGCTGCCCCCGCACTGTTTGGGCAACAGGGGCAGTTGCCCCCGTGGCTCCGGCGCCCCTGACAACATCTTTCTTTACTCTGGCAAATAATTTGTTTTAAACATGGTAGATAGCATCAAAATGCCATTTGTCTTCACAAATGAAGAGTTGAATTTCTTCAAATTTGCATCCATTGTTCTAAACGAATTTCCGAAAATGATACGTCAGCCATTGTGAAAATATGGGACAAAAAAATTGCACCATTGCCAGGTTACCAAGTTTGGGATGACTCTCCTGCAGTCCGCAATCTTCTTCTGACAAGTGAAGGAGGGAAAACTAAGATACAACCAATGAGCCTTACGAAGAATGGGATTGTACAGCTCTGTTTCAAGCAACCATTTTCTCCAACACATTTGGACACACTAAGACTACGACTAAGAAAACGACCACCACGAACCTCTCAACGTACCAAAGGCAACGGCGTCCAGTCCTTTTCTCACCACGGTAAAAAGTGGGAAGCAACATGAAGCGGCGGGGGCAGCCATTTAAAAAGGGCACTTACTCTTGAGCCTTAATTTGTTTTTTTTTTGGGGGGGGGCAATGTTCGTTAACATTTTGCTGTATAACGGACACTTCATTACTTGTTCGGCATGGATTGGAACATTTTTATTCGTTGCATGACACTAAAATGTATTGTAAAGCAACATGATAGTTGTCAGTTATTTAGGAAGGCTTTCTTTTTCCCTTTTTTCATAGGTGGAAACTGATTGGTAATGTTTCGGAGAGGAATTCAGATTCAAATATGAGCTAAATTGTTTAAAAACAGTTTTCAATTTCAATTCATGTGAAAAACGCACGACGTTCGAAGTGTCGTTCTGGTAAAAAAAGGCAACCTGCATGCTGCCCCCGTGCTCCCCCCGCACTGTTTAGGCAACGGGGGCAGCTGCCCCCGTGGCTCCGGCGCCCCTGTTTATTTTGGAGAATTAATGGAACATTAATGGCTTTCCTCAACACAGTTAACACTGATGTTTGTTGGTATTTCTCTCTTTAAATGTATTCTTGATTTAACAAATTATATAAAACATTTTCCGTGTTGATAATTGATATACAGTTATATCAAGTATCTACACGAGTGGAAATTGGGGGAAACGAGAAATTGTGTGGAAACACGACGCCCGAATGACGGAGTGTTTTCACACAATTTCGAGTTTTCCCAATTTCCACGAACAATATGGGCAGCAAAACATTGTTCAATCCTGTTTTCATCAACAGTGCAAGTCGTGCAACAACCTGACTGTTTTTAGCCGTGTATCCATTGCTATATACAGCTCAGTGGCTCAAAACGTCGGATTTTCCCGATGTTTTGTTGATTTTAAAATGTTTATCGGGGAAAAATTATTGTGTTACAATCGTGGTTGAATCGAACAATATGTGGAAAGCGAAAATAGCAAAGGTAAATAGATTAAAATTGGATTTAGTGCGTATTTTTAAAATATTTTACCAAATATAGTAGTCCCCCCGCGTGACACATGTGACGTCAGTTTCATACGGGAACTTCACCACACAGTTTTTGGCGGGAAAATTTGTAATGTTTTTAAATTTTAATTTTGGAGAAGACAAGATGGCGCCGGTTAATACTTCGTGTCATCAAAGGGGATTTTTGTTCACAAATACCCGCTTATTTTACGTTATAGCGACTGGTTAGATTTGGAAATTATAACTTAATGGACAGGGAAAACGATTCTGTAGTAAAGAGAAAAATACGTGCTGTTTATATTGACTTTATATTGTGATGTTGTCTGTTGTGAAAAACGGCCCGAAATTTCGCTACATCGCTGTACTGGTTTATAAAAAATTCTACTGGCAATTCGGCCATGGATAAAGAGACAATGAATGAAATGAACAGCCAACCTGTCTTAATGGTAAGTTTTTAAAGGTTTTCGGTAATATTTTTTTATAGTTTAAAGACCATGTCAAGTCCGTTTTGCGCATCGGTTCGGGCCATTCCATTTAATGTACACCCCCCCCCTCCCCTATGGACGAGTTCAATAAAATTCGAACCCCTAAGGGAGCATTCATTTTTTAGCTGGGGGGGTGGGCCGGAGGAATTGATGTCTAATTCCATGCTAAAACTTGGAACCCCCAAGAGACAAGTTGATAAAAAATTATGACCCCCTATTTTTTTACTGAAAAATTTTTTGACCCCTCATCCTAACTATTAATAATCCACACAGTGTCGTTTCCGTAGCGTTTCAGGGCCGTAGGAAGCTCGTTTTGATTGGGGGGGGGGGCTGAAAACAAGGGCCGAAGGCCCAAGGAAATTTTTAAATCTAGAATCTCTGAAATGCCATTTCCTGGACTTTGGGGAAGATTTGGCAGAATTCTGATGGTCAGAAAACAGCGTTTTAGTATGTCGAAATTGACAATTTGGTAATACTAAATGGGCGAACGCGTATTTAATTAACTATATATTGGATAACTAGGATAAGTTGCAGGAACCTGTGGGTACTATCTTCATTCTTTGCAGTTCGTCATGGATAATGTAGTCACTTAAAATTAATAAAGCTTAAAATTGATAAAGGTCATGATGAAATGCATGCAGACCTTGAAACCATGCATGATTTTGAAATCATGCTATGGTCCTGCGTTTTCTTTCATTCATGTTTTCACACAAAAACGGATAAAAATGAGGTCAATTGACAAACGTCATGGAAATGCTTTCCTATGGACTGTGTGAACAGAGCATCAAACGAAATTTTGCTTCTTTGTTAAAGATGACGAGATAGTTGATAGTTTCTAGACCTTTTTTCCATTCCTCATCCATATATTTCCAAATTCTATAAAATTATATTGGTGACTTTTTCACTGATTATTTTTATGACCCCCTCCATTTATACCAAAACTATAAAAAGACCCACCCCTTTGAAGCATGTCAAAATTTGCTGACCCACCCCCAAATTCCTCCGGCCCACCCCCCCAGGTAAAAAATGAATGCTCCCTAAGAAGAAAAGATCAAAGTGCCGACACAAACACCCCCCATAAATTAAGAAATTTTTGCCTTACCCCTCGGAAAAAACGCAAAGATCAAAGGATGCCGATGCACACAACCCCTCAGAAATGGCTTTTCAACCCCCCTCAGAAATTCTCGTCCATAGGGGGGGGGGGGGGGTATATTAAATGGAATGGCCCTATACTTTTTTACAAGCCTAGTTACAAGGGAAATATAGTTAAAATAATACTGCTGAGAAAATATAACGTGATCTTTAAGTAAAGATGCTGGGGTTAGTGGCAAAAAGAAACGTTTGTATTGCCAAAACAAATGACCAACAAGGCTAAAAACGTCTGCAACACGAAAATCATGAGAAATTGTTGATGAAATAAGTACAACTCATTGAGGTATAAATGTAACCTTCATTTTTGCTGGTTCTACCAGTAGAATGCTTTGTCACTGTGGCGTCTGTCTGAGGAGGGCGATAGCATGCAGCAACGTTTGATAACTAACTTCTCTTAGGCCAAAAAAAATGTAGGTTTCCTATTTCTTTGTGTAAAAACTTAAGCTACGTTTACACGCTGCGATTAATCGTGTACGATTCGTTTTCTGGCGTATGTCATTGAGTAAACACGCGTAAGCTGGCTACATTTGAAATCTCTTTTAACGAAATGGCAATGAATTATGGCGCCAGCACTCATTTTAATACGCCAGAATACGAATCGTACACGATTAATCGTAGCGTGTAAACGTAGCTTTAAGGCCGTTTTCCACTAGGCGAATTTTTTCGCGCGACGCGAAGCGAAAACCGAAATCGGGCAACGTGATTGGTCGGCGAAAAAATTCGCGGCGAAAAAGTAGGATCGCTTCCTACTTTTTATCTGTTCGCGCGAACAAATTCGCCTAGTGGAAAACGGGCTTTAGGGTAGGTCTGTTCGGTTTTAACTTTTTTAGCCAGTGCTTCCACATCCAAGGATAAATGTCCCTAATATTGCCTCAAATTTCAATTTTCCACAAACTTTTTCTTCAAAGTGGAAACGCTTACAAGCATGATCCAATAAAAAGTATATGGTCAGAATTTCGCCTGTATGAAATAGAGGTGTGCAAATCCGATTTGTTCGGATTTCGGAACCAAAATATTCATTTTGGATCGGATTGATAAAGTTGTTTCGTAGTTGGATCGGACTTTGATGTCCAATATAAAATGAATTAATTAATAAAGTAAAAAAAGCAACTTGTGGTTCCGGTTTCATATCGCAGTAGTCTCCCCCCCCCGTCCATGACACTTGTGACGTCAGGTACATACGGGACTTTGGGGGCGGGTTTTGGCGGGAAAATCTGTAATGTTTGGAGAAGACAAGATGGCGCTGGTTACCTCGTGTGTAATATCAAAGGGCATTTTTGTTCACAAATACCCGCTTATTTTACGTTATAGCGACTGGTTCGTTTTGGAAATTATAACTCAATGGACGGGGAAAATGATTCTGTATTAAAGAGAAAAAGATGTGCGGTTATTGTGATGTTATTTGTTGTGAAAGACGGCCCGAAATTTCGCTACTTCGCTGTACTGGTTTATAAAACATTTACAAGCAACAGCAATTGAACTATATGACAAAGAAACCAATGTGTACAAGCCAATCAAGTTCTTCAGTTTAAAGGTCAGTTTATTTTTAATAATTAGTTCATGTAGTTATATATTAATACGAAGTACACGGCCATTCCATTTAATATCCACACCCTCCTGTTGACTAGATTTTCCGAAGGGGGTCTGAAATTTTGAATTTCTGAGGGTGTGCCAAGTTGAAATTTCCGAGGGGGTTTGTGAAAGGAAAATTTCTTAAGGTGTCAACATTTTTGTAATTTTCCAAGGAGGTAAAAAATTTTTTTTAATTTCTGAGGGGGGAGGAGGAAGGTATACATGTTGACGAAAATTTCTGAGGGGGTGGTAAATAATTCCCAAAAATTACTGAGGGGTCTATCATAGTGGATCCACGTCAACAGTTATTTCTAAGGGCTTGAGAAAAATTGTAAATTTCCGAGGGGGTTCTTAAAAAATAGCGAATTGGGTCATTCCCCGACTGCATTCCAGGCCCCTCCCGCCAAAGATCTTTGGTGGGAAAAAACTTTACTGACTTTTGGCGGCGTATTTTGGCGTAAATTTTAGCTCATCACTATTTTTGGCGGCGTGCATTCTAGAAGAATGGCGGATACACAAGCTGTATGTATAAATGGTGTTAATATACCAATGAATAATTAATGTTTGAATAATATTTCATTATTTTATTTAAATAAAGTACCTTTCTTTCTTAACTTCTTTATAACCTTTTCTACTTGCACTGTGCAATACAGCTTTAAAGTACTGACAAGTGATTATATATAGTTGATTAAATACGCCTTCGGCCATTTAGTACTATGAAACTGTAAACAAATTGTAAATTTCGACTTACTAAAACGCTGTTTTCTGACCATCAGAATTCTATCAAATCTTCCCCAAAGTCCAGGAAATGGGATTTCAGAGACTTGAAATTTAAAAATTTGCTCAATTGTTTTCAGCTCCACTCCCAATCAAAAACAACTTCCTACGGCATTATCAACATACAAATATTCAGCATTCCCATAATTATATTGTTTATGAACTGTCTGTCGAAGTTGTCAATATAAGATGAGATTTTTGCACCTTTTTTATTTTTAAAATTTTTTTAAAGATGTGATTTTTGCACCTTTGGCGCACGTAACTTGACCACTTTAGATATAATTAGTCTTTGGCGGATATAGTTTTAAAGCTGAATTTCTGGTGTGAATCTTTGGCAGTGAGAAAAGGTGGAATGCAGTCAGGTGTCATTCCAGAAAACATCCATATCACCCCCACAGAGGAAATAGGAAGTTAACCCCCCTACCCCCTTTGGATGTCCTAATACATTTACTATTATCAGAAACAATTTTTTCTCCCCTCCCTCTCCAGATGGCAGAAATTTCCTCCGTGTGGGGCAAGCCTCGAATTTCCCTGAAATCAATCGACGGCAATGGCATTAAAAATTGCCGTAGAACGTAACAGCTGTCTACGGCAATTTTGACAGTTTCCACGGCATTTTTCAAATTACTGTAATAAAATTTTAATTTTATTGTTACTTTGGATTTTTGACAAGCTAGAAACATGTCTACGTATTTCTTTAGTGTTTTTTTTTTTCGAAGAAAACTGAGACTAAAATAGTGATTTACGCATGATTTGATCAACATCTGAATTCAAGTATCAAAATAGTAATGCACAGTGAATAGTATAAAAATTGCACTATACGGCAAAAAATTGCCGTCGTTGCCACAATGATCCACGGCATTTTGTTCTCCCTCTACGGCAATTGCTGCGATAAAATTCGAGCCCTAGTGTGGGGAGTATGGATCTTTTCTGCAACAACCCATTTCCGAGGGGGGCTTACAGAAAACCATTTCTGAAGGGGTCTAAAATCAGAAACCTCGTCAACTGGGGGTGTGGATATTAAATGGAATACGAAGTACTGGATACTAGATAAAAATATAGTTCATTTAGTTGTATATTAATCTGAAGTACTCTACTACTCGTGTTGCCACGCATAACATTGAATTGACGTTATCACCGGTACCCACCTCAGATAACGTCGATCGTTACCCTGTCGTATTTTGACCGCTAAAAGAGCTCAAATGCAAAATGGCAGCTGAAATATGGTGTATAATCAATCAATTTATCTCAGAAATGCATTAAAATGCTGAGGCTTCAATTCAAAGTTATTCACTGTATTTGTACGTAATTGACCGGTATTTGACATGAAACGTCGCTTCGATACTTCAACCTTTGTTTTGGCCTCTATTAGTTGAAAATAGTATAATACTGGCAAAAGTGCACGGCAAACATTAAATATTTAAACTTTGGTCTGTTTGGATGTAAATAGTCAAATTGCTACAAGATAATGTCGATTCTACGTAATGTGTGGCAACATGAATATGGACCTGGTCCCTTAGCGAGTTTGATTTGCTATTTGTATAAACAGACCACAACCCCTTCTCTAACCCTAACCAATGAATGTGTAATGAACTATTGAGAGTTAAAAAAGTCAGGTGGGATTTTAAAATATTTTAAGAAAAATTTCTATGGGGCTGAATATGGAAGCCGGTTGGCCCGCCAAACAAGACAGCTCGGTAAGCAGGATGAATTTTGCTTGCGTTTATATGAGGAGATTTTATGCCGCTTGCCAGGCTAGGAATTGTTTACATTTCACTCAATTGGTTGTTGTTGCCAGAACAAATTTCAAATTTTGTAAACATTACAGCTATTGAAGCACATTGCAACCTTTTGTTTTGTCTTTTTTACCTATGTAATGTCAAGAACTATAAAAATAGTTGCAGAAAAGACTTCAAACTATCGAAAATGTTTCATCCGAGCAACCGGGCCATCCATTTGCTAGTGTTTATATGGGGAAATTTTGGTTATCCATATAAATGCACAGGAATTTTTACTATAAATTCTACTACACGGCAAGATCTTGCTAAGATGTAAGAAAAAAATACCTGTGGTTCCAGTTTCATATTGTGACAAAATTTATAGGGTCGGTAGATCGGAAATTTTTTTTTGAATATTATTTTCATGGTTTTGGTGGTTTTTTGCTGGGTGATTTGCAGTAGAGTTCCGACATCAATATTAACTAGAGATGCGTATTTCCTATGGACGAATTTAGGTAATTTGGTTCAATAATTAGTGTGACAGTTCAAACACCATTTTGGCACGCTGTATGAGCAGCCCACAACCACCTGGAGAAAATACGGTCGCACGGTCAATTGTGCTGAAAAAATAATAGGGTCGGCAGAAAAAAATAGGGTCGGTCGGGAACCGGAACCACAGGTATTTTTTACGCCTAACCGGGCTGTCTTGCCAAGTGCGCCAGCCTGGCTCCAATATAAACAGCCCCTAAATCAAACAGAAATCGACAGCTAAAACAAAACCTGATCCCGACCTTGTTTCACTTTGCATGCATGCAACGCCTTTGCTGAATACACTACCAGCCTGAATTGCTGAAAGCTATTGCAAAAAAACTATTTTATATTACTACTTTACAAAATGTAAGAACCTGACAACATCCCTGCGACTTTGTGTCATCTATCTAGACAGTATGATTATTGTATGCAACTTTTCGAACCGAGAGATATATTAGACCCTCTTTCTACTTTTTTTTTCACTTTGCCTTGGTCACACTTTGAACAAGAGGTGTGCCAATTTCGCTTTCTCTCATCTCATTGTAGATGTCCGCCATTTTGAACTATGTTTTTCATAAAAATGTATTTAAAATATTTACAACTTTTTTGTGTTGCATATGACTGTCATAAGCGCTAGCAAGTTGTAGGGCTATCTATACGGCACAATTTGTGTCGCAGGGATGGTGTCAAAAAAAAAATTGGATGATTGGATGATTGAATTTGTCAAAAAAAAATTTCCGGAGAAACTTTCCAAAATTGTTGTCGCTCCAATATTGTTTAGGTCCATTTTTTTAAGTATTTTATAAAGCGTATGCTATGTATGTGCTAAGAAGCTAGTTTTGTTGGCATGTGGAAAGCAAAAGTAGCGAAGGTAAAGAGATTAAAATTGGATTTAGTGCGTATTTTTGAAAAAATTTACCACCAAATATGGTATCCCCCCCCCCGTCGATGACACTTGTGACGTCAGGTATATACGGGACTTTGGGGGCGGGTTTGGCGGGAAAATCTGTAATGTTTGGAGAAGACAAGATGGCGCTGGTTACCTCGTGTTATATCAAAGGGCATTTTTGTTCACAAATACCCGCTTATTTTACGTTATAGCGACTGGTTCGTCTTGGAAATTATAACTCAATGGACGGGGAAAATGATTCTGTATTAAAGAGAAAAAGATGTGCAGTTATTGTGATGTTATTTGTTGTGAAAGACGGCCCGAAATTTCGCTACTTCGCAGTACTGGTTTATAAAACATTTACAAGCAACAGCAATTGAACTATATGACAAAGAAACCAATGTATACAAGCCAATCAAGTTCTTCAGTTTAAAGGTCTGTTTACTTTTTAATAATTAGTTCATTTAGTTGTACATTAATACGAAGTACTGGAACAGTCGTCGCCTAGTCACAGAATAGGAAGGTATACCCATTGGTTTTCACTTGTTTCCATCTACCAAACTGACATTACGTCATTTGATCAATTTCTAAAGTAGTTTCTTTTTGGATTTTTTCATTAATTTGGTTAGGGTTAGAGTTAGGGTTGCGGTTAGGGTTAGAGGTTAGAGTAGGGGTGGGGTTTGGGCTAGTTACATAGCCATTTAACACCCCTTCCATCTTCCAAAAATGACGTCATGTCAGTTTGGTAGTTGGAAACAAGTGCTGACCATACCCATTGAACTAAAAATAACTGGAACGATACCTCCAGCCGGAAATGTGAAGCCATGCCCAGGCATGCCCACTGTTGTTATGCCCAGTCTTTTCACGTAATGGAAATGAACGCGGGTTTTTTAAATTTCCAAAACTGGGTAAAAAAATGCACTAAAACATGATTTAAAACGACGTAAAATGCACCTACCAGTACATTTTTTACAATAAAAACATCCTTCAAAACTCTAGAGTAAAATATTTTTAATTTATTTAAGTGTAGAATTCATAATTAAATTTCCTTTTTTGAAAAAAAACGTTGAGCGAGGAGTGGAGCTTGCCATGGTCTAATCATAAGTATTTGTGTGAATTTCCCTATTTTGGTCATTCGTTTTCCAATTTATTCGTCTGAAAGTTAGGAAAAAAGGTATTCTAACAAGATCAAACTACCAAGGCCAAAAAAAAATATGTGGGTTTCCGGTTTCTTCTCATAAAAACTTAGGTAGGGTAGGTCGGTTTTAACTTCTTTTTTTTCAACTTTTTTTTTAATTTTCCGAACAAGCGGACGCCATTTTGTTTAGCCAGTGCTTCCACATCCAAAGATAAATTTCCCTAATATTGCCTCAAATTTCAATTTTCCACAAACTTTTTCCTCTAAGTGGAAACACTTACAAGCATGATCCAATAAAAAAGTTTAGGGTCGGGATTTCGACGTCCAAAAGCTAGGTAGGGTCGGGAAACCGGAAACCCACATATATTTTTTTTGGCCCAACCACAGTTTAATTATGTTTTGTAGTAGAGTATTTATTAAGTTTTAAAGGTACAAAATAACAAGTATAAACATTAAAGACATTAAGAAAATTTTTTTCGCGGACAAGTATTTCATGTCGCGATTATTCACATTCGGCAAGAAATACACAGAACAAGTCGTCAACGAAGGCAAACAAAGTGATAGATACAGATTAAATAAACTTATCTTGTTTAACAATCAATGAAGTTGTTATAAATATATGTTTAATACGTTAAGATAAAGAATTACTTATCTTTCTCAAGTTTCATCTGCATATAAACGTTCCAGTCATTCAAATATGCACTTGTTGTCTGCAATCAGTTACTTTCTTCCTTGCAATTTTAGTCTGTAGGGTTCAAGATATGTTTTAAATACACTTTTAATACAAAAATATAGCTTAAAACCCTAAATAAACGACAATTTTCGATCCATTCGTCCGAGAAAAAACATTCAGTCACTTCGCCGTAATGTGAAGAAGAATGTCTCGCAACACAAACGCGCATGTCTGGAGGTAGAACACGCGTGGCTGGAGGTAAAATTTGGCTTAATCCGATCATAAGCCAATCCTATTGGAGGTAGCGTTCCAGGTATTTTTAGTTCACTGGGTATACCAGAAGCGTAACTCGAGCAAGTATTTGTCCGCATTTTTACAAGCGATTCGTCATCAATCACGCCATCCTGGCTAGTACAACCGGCACTTTGTACCTACCAAAACCAGTGAACTCTCTCTTATATATATATCTGGAATGATAACAGCGAGCGAAAAGTGAAGCCGACAAAAAAAATCACGACATAAGTATTCGTCATTGTCTTCGTCATCAACTGTTCAAGAACAATCACTTACATATAAAATTTGTAATTGTTTTGAAAGTTTTTATCACAGTTTTTATATCTTTACTCACTTTTAACCTGAAGATGGAGTTATACTCCGAAACGTAGTTATTAAAATAATTTTTTACTAAGCCCATATGGTCTAATTTATATTCAAACACACATACATATTCATTTACATTTTGCTGGCAGGCAAATTCACACAATAAATTCTTTAAAAAATAACGTACCAGTGTATTGACTAAAAACTATAAAACTGGTAAACTAAAAAACAATTCAAACAATCGCGAAAAAATGGCAAAGTCACAGTTGCAAGTCAATTTACCTACCTGTGAAATGAAATTTTCCTCGCAAGAATATCTCTTTCCTTGTGCATCCAGAACGACACAACATATTTGAAAAAGCCTATTCTTTTCTCCACACGGGGAAGTTTTCCTCGACTTTTTTCCGACAGCGAACTCAATGCAGTAAATTTTAGGAGCAAAACAGTTTGCTCCTAAAATGTATTGCCAATGCAATACTGGCCATTCAATATTGGCCATGTTTTTAATTTTTTTTCGTGATTGCGTTCAAATTTATACTGGCCGTGCAACGGTTTGCAAGAGGGGGAATGAAACTGACGTCCAATCTGCGTAAACCTGACGTTTGAGGGACTGAGACTGACGTCCAATCCGCGTGAAAGACTGGTATCGAGGCTTCATTGTTTTCACAATCAAATGACTGAATGTTATCATTCCAGATATATATATATATAGAGAGAGAGAGAGAGAGTTCACTGACCAAAACCTGATAAAAACTTCCGGCTGTGCTAGCCAGGATGGCGTGGATTGGCGTGAGCGAGTTAAAATTTTCATGGACGTAAAACAATAAGGGAAACGACTAGAGTTACGCTTCTGCTCTATCTTCTTTATTCTGTGGCCTAGTTTGGTTTTGCTATTTGTACTGACTACTGTAGTCGGAATATTTAAGATAAGGTATGGATAAACAGACCCCAACCCCTTCCCTAACCAATAAATGTGTAATGAACTATTTGAGAGTTAGAAAGGTCGGGGAAATTTACAAATATTTTAAGAAACATTTCTACGGGGCTGTTTATGGAAGCATGCCTTAGCAGGGCTGGCCCGCTAAACGAGATAGCCCGGTAAGCGGATGAATTTTGCTTGCGTTTATGAGATTTTATCCTGCTTGCTGTGCTAGAAATTGTTTACATTGCACTCAATAGGCAATTCCAGCTTTTAGTTTATGCCTGCAGGGGATGATGGGAAGTAAGGTATCATAGTGCTGATTATGCTGAAAAATTTCAATAAAAACAACCGAAATATTTCAATATTTACAAGTATAAGCTATCACTACGTGTTTACACGGCCATCATTTTTATTTTTTCAGCATAATCAGCAATGTGATACCTTATTTCCCATCGTCCCCTGCACGCATAAACTAAAAGCTGGAATTGCCTATTGGCTTTCCCAATTTCAAAATTAATTTTTGCTTCAAAACTCGCTATTTTGTAAACATTACAGCTATTGAAGCACAGCTTAGATAGAGACAGGAAGTTTTACCTCGCAGTTTGATTGTTGAAACGCACAAGTTACCAAGGGCAAATTCATGGGAAATTTAGGCACTTTCGGTTCAATGGGTTGTTCCAGAAAAGATCCATACCCCCCATGCTGTCCGAAGGGGGAGTGAGGAAAAATGTCTTAGGATGTCCGAGGGGGGGGGAGGAAATGCGGATATAAGATTGTCCGAAGATTTTAGATAGTGATAAAGCTATGTGATCGGCGATTATAATGAGCACGCAATTTTTATCGGCTATAGCCCTTAAAAACTGGAACGTTTATGTAACAGCAATAATTATACGTCCACGTAACTCGTAATCAAAATAGCGGCCCACTTTTGCATGCATGGCCACCAAAAACTAACTCGCTGTAACAGTGTATCCTGCATGTTGAGAATGAGTCGAAAATTTACACACTTTATTTATATAAAAGTAAAGTTTTGCAGTTTTTGTATGTATAAGTTTGAATTATTCAAG